ATGGGGTTCGGGGTCAAGTTCGAGTCGCGAACTCAAACTTTTTGACGAAGTTCGGCCGAACCCGAACATCCAGGTGTCCGCTCAACTCTAATGGTAATGATAGTGTTAGTCAGTTAGACTATGGTTGAGTATTTATTACATTCAATAAGTAATGTTGCTAGACTATGGTTGCTCATGTTTTTTCACGACTAAAACATTCTCGGTCTTGTTTCAATCTTAACTCTACACGACACCATATTATACTGTCACATGGATTTTATATGGGCAATTCTTATCTGTTAGAAACTTGTTGGACGTTTCCTGATTCTGATCTCTGATTGGTTGTTAGTTACGTTATGACTTACGATGTTGCTATCTTAAAGAGGAAGTGCCTCAGTGTAAGGAGCTTGTTATATACAACACACACTCTGCATTCATTCTATACACACACACTGTAAATAAATATTAAATTAATGTAATTTTATTGGGATCAAATTTTATTTAGAAATTTACCAGTAGCTGCTGCATTTCCCACCCTAGGCTTATACTCGAGTCAATAAGTTTTCCCAGTTTTTTGTGGTAAAATTAGGGGCCTCGGCTTATATTCAGGTCGGCTTATACTCGAGTATTTACGGTACATAAATGGCCAAGATGTATGCAGCCCACCACTGCGTCAAAGTCCTCCAATTACGGTGGGTTCCTATCTACCTAGATATGCATGACTAAATAAACAATAATAAAACACACACAGCACTTACCTGCAAGATAGGGCAGAGGACTTGAAACAACTGCCTGTAGGAACCAACTGAAACAAATTCATGGAAAAGGAAAGGGTGTGGCAACATAAAACAAACATATAAAGGAATCCAGGAGACTGGGAATTCCAGGAACGGAATAAAAGAATGAACCCAGAAAACCCAGCATAAAGAAAACCAGACATGGAATAGAAAACCAGAAAAACCAAGAAAAACTAAAGAAGCAATGGCTTCTGGTATCCAGTACTCTTTTTACTATCCTTGCTTAGTTTTTCTGGTTTTCTATTCCATGTCTGGTTTTCTTTATGCTGGGTTTCTGGGTCCGTTCCTGTAATCCATCCTTGGGATTCCCAGTCTCCAGGTTTCCTTTAAATGTTTGTTTTATGTTGCCACACCCGTTTGTTTTCCACTTTCCTTTTGTTTCAGCCTGGACCTGAAGCAGTGTTTCAAGTCTCTGCCCTTTCTTGCAGGTAAGTGCTATATTGTGGTTTAGTATGGTTGTTTTAGCATACATTAGGCAGTGTAGGACCTGCCAGATATGGGGTACATTGGCGTTGTTGGCAGGCTTGTGCAATGTATGATCATATAATGTAACTAAATCCCCAAACTTTTCATTTATAGTGCTTAGTTATGTCTCCTCTTGTTTTACTTAGTCTTGTAATCCCAGTCCATGTACAGTCCTGTCCAGTCATGCCCATGTTATGTTCTTGTTTTCCTCATGTCTTGTGTACATGTTCTGGGTTCTGCTTTCTGTCCTGCTCTAGTTCTGGGTTCTCCTAGTTTTGTCTTGTTTTCATGGATGGTGCCAATCTCTAGTCTTGCCTTGTTCTCCTAGTTCTGTCTTGTTTTCATGTATGGTGCCTATTTCTAGTCTTGCCTTGTTCTCCTAGTTCTGTCTTGTTTTCATGTATGGTGCCTATCTCTAGTCTTGCCTTGCTTCAGTACTGGATACATCCCTGCTGCAGAGCCTCCCTATTGAGCTCCTTGGAGGTCTGCTTAATTACCTGCTCCTTGTTCCTGGGATCCGCATAAGCTGAATCAGGGTTCTGTTATGTGGCCGCACAAACGCTGGTGCTCAACACCAGGGGGCGTGCGGTTACCCTGCACCAGACCCTGCTAATCCACCTCCACACTGTGACTCCTACCCTGAACATCAGGCATACATGGGTCCAGGTCCATGCACCGCCGCCCGGACCGCGTCTGGGTCCCGGGCACCGGTCCGCCACCCTGACAGTGGACTTTGCAGCTTTCCTGTTCTGTCTGTGTCATGTCCTGTCTGAGAAAACTGCATACAAGAGTTCCTGTATCTGGACCAGTCTGCTGGAGATGGCTTCCTTATTTTTGTCGTGGAGGAGGCCGATCTGCTAAGCGGTACGGTGGTTGCTTCAGGTGTTTTCATGTGATGCTTGGTTCCTGGTTCCTTGTTCTAGTTCCTGTTGGTTATTCGGCATGCAAGAGTTCCTGTATCTGGACCAGTCTGCTGGAGATGGCTTCCTTATTTTTGTTCAGTCTGATTCTTGTCTTGGAGGGGGTCGATCTGCTAAGCAGTATGGTGGTCTCTGCATGTGTCATCTTGTGATGCTTGGTTCCTGGTTCCTTGTTCTAGTTCCTGTTGGTTATTCGGCATGCAAGAGTTCCTGTATCTGGACCAGTCTGCTGGAGATGGCTTCCTTATTTTTGTCATGGAGGAGGTCGATCTGCTAAGCTGTACGGTGGTCACTTCAGGTGTTCTCTTGTGATGCTTGGTTCCTGTTTCGTGGCAGTGCTCCTATTCTGGAGTGGATCTCGGTCCTGGCTGGTGGTTCCTTTGCAGGAGACCTTTCCAAAGGAAGTAAAGTAGTTCGGAATGGCATTGTGAGCCGCAAACTACTTTCCTGCTGTGTTGGGGAATCCTTGCCTCCGTTAAGTCTTGAGGACTTAGTTGCTGTATCCTCGCTTCTTTCTTGGTCTCTGTCTGAGAGCTGCTTGTCGTGCCCAGAGGTCGCTCCTTAAAAGGGGAGTTATGTCACATCCTGTTCCTCGCTGCGGATCATTCTGGCAATGGCTTCTGGTATCCAGTACTCTTTTTACTATCCTTGCTTAGTTTTTCTGGTTTTCTATTCCATGTCTGGTTTTCTTTATGCTGGGTTTCTGGGTCCATTCCTGTAATCCATCCTTGGGATTCCCAGTCTCCAGGTTTCCTTTAAATGTTTGTTTTATGTTGCCACACCCGTTTGTTTTCCACTTTCCTTTTGTTTCAGCCTGGACCTGCAGCAGTGTTTCAAGTCTCTGCCCTTTCTTGCAGGTAAGTGCTATATTGTGGGATCCGCATAAGCTGAATCAGGGTTCTGGTATGTGGCTGCACAAACGCTGGTGCTCAACACCAGGGGGCGTGCGGTTACCCTGCACCAGACCCTGCTAATCCACCACCACACTGTGACTCCTACTCTGAACATCAGGCATACATGGGTTCAGGTCCATGCACTGCCGCCCGGACAGTGTCTGGGTCCCGGGCACCGGACCGCCACCCTGACAGTATGGCCGTAGACACTTGGTGTTCGTGGAGTGGACTTTGCAGCTTTCCTGTTCTGTCTGTGTCATGTTCTGTCTGAGAAAACTGCATACAAGAGTTCCTGTATCTGCACCAGTCTGCTGGAGATGGCTTCCTTATTTTTGTTGTGGAGGAGGTCGATCTGCTAAGCGGTACGGTGGTCGCTTCTGGTGTTTTCTTGTGATGCTTGGTTCCTGGTTTCTTGTTCTAGTTCCTCCTGGATTATGCAGCATACAAGAGTTCCTGTATCTGGACCAGTCTGCTGGAGATGGCTTCCTTATTTTTGTTCAGTCTGTCTGATTCCTGTCTTGGAGGGGGTCGATCTGCTAAGCAGTTTGGAGGTCTCTGCAGGTGTCATCTTGTGATGCTTGGTTCCTGGTTCCTTGTTCTAGTTCCTGTTTGTTATTCGGCATGCAAGAGTTCCTGTATCTGGACCAGTCTGCTGGAGATGGCTTCCTTATTTTTGTCGTGGAGGAGGTCGATCTGCTAAGCTGTACGGTGGTTGCTTCAGGTGTTCTCTGCACCAGACCCTGCTAATCCACCTCCACACTGTGACTCCTACTCTGAACATCATGCATACATGGGTCCAGGTCCATGCACCGCCGCCCGGACAGGGTCTGGGTCCCGGGCACCGGACCACCACCCTGACAATACCAGAAGCCTGTCACGTATTCATCCGCTTATAGAAATGTGGTTAATGACATTTACTGTCCACACAGGAAAAGTTGTGCCGAGCAGCAACCTAATCCACAGAAGGGTTAATGCTGAGCAGCAATTATGCAAATGAAACCTGGTAACTGACTTTGGGGTCAAAGGCCGGTTACAGCCTATCAGAAAGAAAGGAGGGGTATTTAGGCCCAGTTCTCAGCCTGCTCAGTGCCCTGTCGTGGTTTCCCTTGTGGTTGTCCGAGAGCGCGTTCCTGTTTATAGTTTTCTACCTGGTTTTTGACTTTGGCTTTGTTTATTGACTTCTCTATATTCTGGTATCCTGACTCCTGGCTCACTGTGTCCCTTTCTGTGTTCCCTGACCTCGGCTAGTATTTTTGACTATTCTTTGTACGTTAAATCCAGCCATTCTAAGGACCGGTAGTACGTTACTTATTTGTCATCCGTGCTGTACAGTTCTACGTGCTGGATCAAACAGTAATCCTGACAAAGCCAAGGCCAGAAATGATCCGCACCCAGGAACAGGATGTGACATTGTCTCTTATTGGTCATTTGTTTTTATATGTTCTTTGCTGCTATGGAGTAGTAAAGGAAGTTAGATGCAAAATACTCGCCTCCTGTTATTATTAAAATTAAGATTATTAGTACAATAAAGCTATCATAATCTTCAATTAGTCCTGATTGTTAAAATGCCCAATGTCTAGGATTTCAATTAATTCTTAGAAGTTACAAAAGTTTTTTTTTATTTTTTATTATAAATTCTTTATTTGTGATTTTGGTCGTAGGTTGGTAGGGATGAGGGTTATAGAATCAGAAAGGGAGGGAGGGTACAAAGTAGGGTAAGTACCGGTACAGGTCCAATGGTATCATCTCATAACACACATCTGTACTTCAGGATTTTAGGTAAGGTTAAGACAGGCCTTGAGGCATGCCAGGGGCACTTTCAAGGACAGCTTCATAATGTTAGCATTGCTGGTTAGCACAGTTCCCTTAGTCTGGCAATTCGTTCCCTAAACTCCCAGGCCCGGTTTGACTAGTGTGCACTGAGGCTGGCTGCGCCACCTTCTCCTGTGTTTTATTAGTGTGTAGTAGGACTGGGTTGCTTGTGTTCGTCTAGGCCTAGTAGTCGCCACGTGTTTGTTGTTCTGGGTCTCTGCTAGTGTTGGTGGGAATGTGCTTCTTGTCAAGCATGGTTACAGATTTCTGCTGTGCTCATTGGCTCATTTGAAATATTGGAACGTTTCCGACCTGCCCCCTGTCCGTTCAAGGTTGTGGTAGTTTGGTGTCTTTGAGCTCTAGGATTCTAGATCCTAATTACGTCCTTTTTCTTTTTGTCCTTCTGTGGGTGATACCTGTTGGGTTTGGGACCGTCGTTGGGACTGTCGGCCTCCCCGATGCATGAGCTGTGTGGGTTGGGGAGGGTCAGTCCAAGGGGGAGGGTAGGGCATGGAGGGATCTGTTAATAGGTAGGTGTTTAGAGTGGGTAGGGATGCATCGACCGGTTTCCCGGTACCCCCCCCCACGGTGATGGGCCAAATGTTGGGTGGTGTGGGCGTGGTAGTTTCCGGGGTCTATTCGAACCCATAAAGCTGCTTTGATAGGGTGGTAGCGGGTCAGTTCAGTTTAGGTGGTTGTATTATGGGTACCATCTACCAAGGCAGGGTGGTGTCTCCATAGAGCCACGGGTCCCAGATCTTGTGGTATTGTTTGGTGGTCTCGTGTATCTGGGCTGTAAGGCTATCCATGTTAGTGCACTCCTGTATCTTGTGTGCGATGATCGTGTGTGAGGGGATGTGTAGTGTGGCACATACCTCTGCAATTGCTCGGCGTGTAGCCAATGCTATTCTCGCGATTAGTTTGTTCTCTGCTCTGGAGAATGAGTCTATGGGTTTGGACAGAAAGAGCATCCATGGGTCCATTGGGCATGTTCTATCAAACTGTCTAACGATCAGGGTGGCAATGCTGTGCCATAAGGGCTGCAGTTTGGGGCAGGTCCACCAACAGTGGGGGAAGGTCCCCACTTCACCGCATCCCTTCCAACATAGGTTGGATGGGGTTATGTGCATAATGGCTAGTTTGTGGGGCGTAAGGTACCATTTAAATAGCATTTTGTAGGCCTGTTCCTTTTGCGTTACGCAGATAGATATAGTGGCTGTGGCATCCCAGATGTCTGACCAGTCGGTGGGGTCGTCTGGTGGGCCCAAGTCTTTTTCCCAGGCCTTTATGTATGGGAGTGTAACTTGTGTCGGATGTGTCGCCAGGGTGGAGTATAAGTTCGAGATTTGGCCCTTTCGTATCGGGTGTATCATGCAGCCTTTTTCAAACTGCGTGAGTGGGGCCGTGCCCGCCTGTTTTATGATGGGTGTGGATGCAAAGCTTCTGAGTTGGATATATCTAAAGTGGTCGAATGTGGTTAGTGTATTGTGGTCTGGTAGATCTTCATAGGCTATGATTGTATTGTTAGAGTACAAGTGTCCCAGTCTGGATATGTTTCGCCTTTCAAAGTTGGCAAAGTGTGCCGGGGTCAGTCCCGGGGGAAAAGTTTATTTCTCCAGATGGGGGTATTTGGGGACAAGAAGGAGGACAGGTCAAACCTGTCTCTCACCTTGTCCCATAGATCTAGTGAGTTGCTGGGGCTGTTGGTGAGGGCAGTGGTCTCTGTAACCTGGGTAGCCACATATATAGTGAGGGATGGTCCCACCCAAAAATCATGTGCTCGAGGTCCACCCATCGTTTCTGGTTTGGCGGTAGGTGCCATTGTTGTATTTGGGTGAGGTGTGTCGCTGTAAGGTAGTGTGTAAAGCTGGGGAGGCCCAGTCCCCCGGCATGTTTGGGGATGTAGAGAGTAGCTTTTTGCACCCTCGGTTTGCGTCCATTCCACACAAAGAAGTCCACTGCCCCCTGGAGGGCCCTGAGGTCCTGCCTGCGGAACAGTATCGGGAGGGTCTGAAACACACAGAGAAATCTGGGAAGGAGATTCATTTTAATGGTTGTTACTCTTCCCAGTCACGATATCCCTAAGGAGCACCAGTGTATAAGGTCTTTGTGTGCTGTTTGCAGGAGAGGTGTGTAGTTTGCCTCATAGAGTTTGGCGATGTCATTTGTTAGCTGGATGCCCAAGTATGTGATGGCTGAGGGGCAAGCGCGGAATGGAATAAGTTTTGTAGGCACACCAGTCTTGGTCTGGCTATGTTAACTGGGAGGAGTTCTGTTTTTGTTGCATTTAATTTATAACTGCTCATTGTGGAGTAGGTCTGTATTAGAGTTACTGTGGCTTCTATGGATGTTTCAGGATTTGTCAGTGTTAGCAGAACGTCGTCCACGTATGCTGCCACTGTGAACTCCTCCCCACGTATCTGCACCCCCTCTATCCCCGGGTCCTCTCGTAGTGCTTGTAGTAGGGGTTCGAGGGAAATCGCAAACAGCAGGGGTGAGAGGGGGCATCCCTGCCGCGTGCCATTGGTAATTGTAAAGCGTGTGGAGTTATGTTAGGGAGCAGGAGTGCCTCTTGGGGATTGTTGTATATAGCCTGTAAGAAGGTTATGAATTCCCTTGGGAATCCGTATTTTGTAAGGGTGTGGTAGAGGAATGGCCAGAGTAGGCGGTCGAATGCCTTTTTGGCGTCCAGCGAAATAACCACCATGGGGATGTGCCTATGTTGTACTAACCATATCAGGTCAATGGTACGGCGGGTATTATCTGAGGCTTGTCTGTTGGGAATAAAGCCCACCTGGTCTGGGTGTATTATGCGTTCCAGGTGTGGGTTTAGTCTGTTGGCCATTATTTTGGTGAGTATTTTGAGGTCCACATTAAGGAGGGATATTGGTCTGTAGTGTTCTGGTTGTGAGTGGTCTTTGTTTGGTTTTGGGAGGAGGCAAATATGTGCCGTAACCATGTCTGGTGGTAGTGTGTCCCCTTTGAGCAAGGTATTGAAAACTTGTGTAAAGTGTGGCAGTAACAGCTGACTAAATTCTTTGTAATATAGGGCTGTATACCCGTCCGGGCTGGGACTCTTATTGGGTTTGAAGGTTTTGAGGGCCTCTGCCATTTCCTCTGTTGTTACCTCTTCTGCTATTGCCTTTTTGGCCTCTGGGGGTATGGTGGGGAGGTTCAATTTGTCTAGAAAGGCGTCAGTGGCTGTCTGTCATAAGTAGTCCTCCGTTGTTGATGAGGGGGAGTGATTGTACAGGGCTGAAACGTTTCCCCTATTCTGTTGGGGTCGGTGCTATCTTGTCCTGATGGGGTGCGGATTTTGTGTATTCTAGTTGCTTCTATCCTGCTTTTGAGGCGACGCGCCAACATAGTGTCCGCTTTGTTGCTTTTCTTGTAATATTTTTGTTTGAGCCACATCAGGGCTTTTGCAGTGTCAGCCTGTGTTAGTTGTTTTACCTGTTCCCTAATGGCCGTTAATTGGACTAGAGTGGATTGTTGTGGTTGTTGCTTGTGTTTTGTCTCTAGGCGACGCAGGTCTGATAGGGCATTTGTGAGCTGTAGCTGTCGACGTTTTTTGGCCGTCGCCAGGCTGATTAAGTGGCCTTGAATTACTGCTTTGTGGGCCGTCCATACGGAGAGCGGGGAGGTCTCAGGGTTAGTGTTGATGTCAAAGTAGTCTTTGAGGTGTTTAGTTATTTCGGACGTTATTAGTTTGTCGTGTAGAAGTAGTGGATTGAGTTTCCATGTCCACTGTCATCGGAGGTGCGGTAGGTTGATGGTTAATGTGATGTCAGCATGGTCCGACCAAGAGATTGTGCCTATAGTCGTGTTGGTTATGTGAGGGAGTAGTCTCGGGGAGATCAGGAAGTGGTCTATGTGTGAGTATGATTTGTGTGGGTGGGAATAAAAGGTAAAGTCTCTCGTGGAGGGATGTTGGGCTCTCCAGGTGTCAAATAGGTTTTGGGTTGCTTGGAAACGGGCGAACAGGGTGTCATTTCTAGTGGGTTGAGTGCAGCTTTCCCCCGATAATGAGTGGGATATTGGCGTAGGTTTGTAAGTGCGTCTGGTATTGAGTCCAGAAGCTAGGTTCCGGTGTAGTTGGTGCATATATTGAGCTGAAAGCAAATGAGGAAGTGCCTATGTTGCCAGTTACTATTATGGGGGTCCGCAGTGCTCGTTATGTTTTTCAGAGGGCATGATGTGTGTAGGAGGATGGCTACTCCCTTTGTTTTCGTGTCTGGGGAATTGGCGAGGAAACTGCAGTTATAGTATCTGTTTGTAAGGGGGAACGCTCGGTGAGTGGAAAAATTAGTTTCCTGTATTAGCAGGATGTCTGATTTTTGTTTGTGGGCCCATCGTATGAGGGTGTGCCTTTTGGTAGGGGAGTTGAGGCCCTTATCGTTGATTGATACACATTTAATATCAAGGGGCATAGTATTTGGTGGGGGTCGTTACTTAGCCCTTGGAGTGGGGCTTGCGTAGGGGGGGTCCCCGGGTCGGGGTGTAGGGGTCCCCGGGATGGTCAAACCTTGCAGTAAGGTCTGGAGCCCCGGGAGGCAGCGCGGCTCTCCGCGCCTCCCCAAACGCAAGACCCGGTGGGCACCCCTCACCTGGGCGCCCAAAGAGAGCATGACCACCTGCCTAAGTGGCCCCTGGGTACCTCCTTCACAGTGTGCAGCAAAGAGCCCATGTACAATTCACATAGTCACATATCAACATTTCAACATATGGCTAAGCCCTCTCCTATCCCCTCCCTCCCAGCCCCCCGACGGTTAAACGTTTGCTGTGTTGTGGGGGATCCCTGCTTGGTCCGGCTGAGGTGTGGGAGCTTTGCCCTTGGAATTGAGTGTGTGTGTGTGGCCCAATGTGTTGGGGCTAGATGCCGCTTGTCTTGTAGCGGTCTGAGGGGGATCCCTCAGCACCGTGGCTGGGGCTGCCTGAGGAGGTGCAGATGCGCCATTTTTCGCCCTGGTGGGTGAATGGCAAGGTGTGGGACTGGGAGTGAGAGTAGAAGGTGAGTGTGATGATGATAAGGGGTGCTGGCCCCTAAGGGGCGAGTCTGTTTAAATACTTGCGGAATGTCCCTCTTGGTATTTGCGACATCAGGTGGTGCGGTTATTACTGGTTTCCGTGGTCAGCCGGCGGGCTCCCTGCAGGCTGGCACAAGGTCAGCAAGGTGTGCTCTCTGTAGTCGGTGTTGTGAGTCTTCAGACTGAGTTAGGGCTGCATAGCGTCTGGGATAGGGTGGGATGGCAGGTCTAGGTCAGCTGGTCACCTGAGGTCGGGTATGAGCGCTTGGTGTTCATTGGTCTCTGGTCCTGGAAGGTCTCCCGGGGTCTCCGGCTCGATGCTGGGTCACCCCGTCCGGCCGGCAGGGGGCCCCTGTTCTAGGCCTGATATTCCTAGTTGTTCAGCGA